AGTTAGTTCTAGACGTTATATAATGAAAGTAAAAACATCGAATTTAGTGGAAAAAAATTAATTAATTAATATCACGAGGTATAATGACATAGTTTATTGACTCCTTCAGAATTGGATGTCTAGTTATTCCACTGAGAAACCATATGATATAGCTATAAAACATATCATGAATTCTTGCTTGTTAAAGTAGAGGGTAAATGTCTACAAATAATTCATATTTCTCATGTATTAAGTTATATTTGTCACAACAAAGACCCGGTATAGGCTATATCAAGACATCTATCGCGATTCGAACCGTAGCAGTTCAGCATGTAATCTCGACACTTTAACCACTACGCTCCATTACCACGAGTGCTCTTGAGTCATTTATTAATAAAGCAACTTGTAGTTTCTATAGTAATAAGTTGCGTTACTTATTTTTTCATTATAAGTAGATTTTAGAGACTGTCATTTGCTCATTCATATTTGAAATTTAGTCTAGTAAACATTCTGATAAACTAAAGACTATATATATTATTATGTCTTATATTATACATTATAAAACGCAAATTATAAATACATTAAACTCTTACTTTTGCCAATATTTTAAATTATTATTTGATTTAAAATATTCTTTTAGATCGCCTCTAATTTTCTAGCATACAAAGAGCAATTAGTATAGTTTTAGTAATTTAAAATGGATACGATTTATATTAAAACTATATTTTTAGAAATGAGTGAAACAAAATATTCTGAGCAGAGCGTAAAATAATAGCCTGCTTACTGCAAATAAATTGCACAATCTCTTAGTGTGCTCTAAATCAAATATATATTATATATATTAAGTGGTTTTAATACAGTCAGTTAAAAAATTGTAAATTTTATATCAATTAGCTTATATTTATTCTATCTATACTTAACTTGTTACATAATGAAAACAAATTAAAATATATACACTTTAAGATAATACCTATATACATTGAGCGTAAATGATATTTTCAGTTGATGTTTATGCAAAAAAGGGTAATCTGTATTTCGTTTTAATTAATGCATTCAAGTTATAGAAATGAATCTCTAATTGATTATTAGTTTGCCTACAGGATGATTCACTTCTATAAAAAAATTCTTATTAAATAAATCGGAAAATATAATTATGCGTTGAGCAAATTAAGCGATACAAAATATCTACTGTAATGAATTCAACTCCTGAAAACCAAAATATTTTATCCATATAATGAAATTAATTATTCGTTGGGGAATCTTATTTAAGAATCTAATCATGAATTGGACAACATTTATAAAATACTATTCAATTGGTTAGTGAATTGCTCAATAAAATGAATATTTACTTTAATTTAAATGCTATATTTCATTAAAAAATTACTAAGTGTAGGTAGGTTTGCAAGAAAATGTAATGCATATAAATTAGATTTTTATATTTTTTTAATAGGCTTTGGATTTGTAACTTTTGAAAGTGAAGAAGCCGCAGAAAAAGCATGTAAAATTCATTACCATGAAATAAATAACAAAATGGTGAGCTACCTTTTTTACTTATTTACCCCATATGTGCCATAATTTCTGTTTCAAAGCTTTAAGTGATGTAAGGAAAAATAGGACCTTACTGAACATATTCGTAATTTAATTTATCATTATAAACAAAAGTAAACGTAAGAAAAAGTAAAAACAAATATAAAATTATAAAGACGTGCTAGTAGTATATTATTTGTTTTGTTTTGGATTTACAATTCGGTCGTTTTTAATAGGGATCAAAATAAACACACCTTGTCCGAATTTCTTCGTAATGACAATGATGAAGATTCCCAGCATCAACCTTCAACTTGATATATTCTTATATGCTGCATATTATTGTAACAATTCCGAATTCGTTAATGGAAGTGTTTTATAAGAAGCGTAATAGCATGGCTACTATGTAAGAGGACTTCGGAGAAAGTGACTTTATCTCGGCCCTCCTAACATGACTAAGCTGCAAATACTTCGTCAAACCAGCAATAAAAACAAAAAGAGACTGTGAACAAAATATACGTCACAACAAATTCCTCGTCATAACCTTGGTTGTGCTAGAAGTATATCTGCATAAATCCTACAATACTTATCCTAATAAGATCTGTTCAAATCGATGGTGCAGCCATTGATATTTATTGAACAAAATGATTTTTTGAGTAGTATACCAAGATACCGATGACATAGTTCTATAAGAATTCGAAAACATTGTTTAGAGCTGCAATGACACTAAGGCCAAAGCCGCTCCTTATAAGCTTATGCATTTTTCAAATTATAAGAACGAATAAGATGATTGATCCTGTAGAGCTAAGTAAAGCAACACAGACAAACCTTCGAAATTTTAAATACAAATCCACAAACTTACTTACATATACTTCAAATATGCCACTTTTTCAAGAAGTAAATTTGTCCTACAATCTTAAATACAGTTATTAAAAGTTACTTGCCCTTTTATCTAATTAGTCTGGCAATAGAATAATAGGTTGCTTTTTTTCTAGGTTGAAGCAAAAAAGGCTTTGCCAAAGGAAGTTCTGAGTACCAGCAATGCCTTAGTAAGGCAAAGGCAACAAGTCATTCCCGCTTCATTTGGTGAGAATAAAACTTTTTTAGTTTTAATGCCCTTGATATTTTTTAAATGGCTAAACTTTAATTAAATATTAATATTTTTATCTTTTACTTAATATTGGATTCAAATTAATTTAACTTTTTTATGTGTTTTATATAAAAATTTCGTACTACACAATCCCATATAAATAAATGTTTTAGTTCTCTGGTTTAAACTAAATGTATGATAAGATGACTTTATTTCATTAAGCAAGGTCGAAAAACATATCCTTATACAAATTAGTTCCTGATTTAATATGCTCAAGACTTAATGACGTAGCATCGAACACCCTAAATGAATTGTCACATGAGATGTACTCGCCGTTTCTCGTTTAATGTGATGAAGAACTTGTAGTTGTATTCTACTACACTAGTATAAATAGAGCTAATGATTTCATTCAATTTTACATAGCCTTAATTTCCAAAATGGTGTTCTCACCCAGGGTTGAGTGCAGTTTCGACCTCACCCAGGTCTAATTAACATCTCCACGGAGATACTAACCTTACCAATGTAATCTTGACACGTTATATACTACGCAACATTGCCACAAGTTCCCTTGGGTCACAGGGCAGTTGTGCATTTCAAGGAAGTCCAGTCATTTTTCCAGATTACATTCTTTAATGGGATTGCCAATAAAGCAATGCTATAACAATCGGCAGCATTATTTATTTTAATTTTATTACATCTTATATAAATGATTTACTGCTAGTCTCGATACTCTGCTTAAAAACGATAAATAAACTGTGTTCTCTTTCTACGTTGACGAGCTAAATTATTTTATCCATGTATTTCTAGTTAATTTACGTGAACGCTTCTACTGAATACTGACCTGCCTGCCTGCTAATTCTTTATTGATATCTTAAAGATTGAACCTGTTTAGTTATACTTTTTACTTTCATTGAAAAGCTTCTGTGTAAAAATTCATAATATTCATCTACACTATGCATAGTAAGGAAGTCAGTACATTGATGTCATATTCTGCAAAGATTTGTCTTCTTCTGAATACATCATACAATTATTAGAAAAAAACTCAAAATATATTTAGCATAATCGAGGAAAAATCCCCCCCTAATAGCGACAAATACAAACACGGAACAAATCCTAATCCATTTTTTTGCTCTACTATTCTGTCATCTAAAAACTCCCAAAAGAATTCACTCAATTATGTATTATATAATAGTGGCTAGGCTGTAGCTTAAAATGCTCTATGAAGGCTGGATTTTTGTCTTTTCTAGTGAAGACATAGATCGTATTCTTTTCTTATAGTATGAAAATAAACGGTAATTACACATTATTTCAAAATCCTCTACCAACTTTTTCTCAGAAAGGTTTTGAATCATATTTGATCATACCTAAACTTAAAAATATAAATTATGAAATATGTGTATCTTATGTCGTGAGAAAATAATTAAGCAAATTTCGGATATCTCTGGAGCTTAGGAAAATAAAAGTAATAAAAAAATCGTGCTAAATGAAGTTTAGGAATATAATTATATGGACACTCATATTCTTTCATAAACCAATAGTAGTGCTTTTCCAGAGTACTTCCAGAAGCTTTGAGGGACACTATCAGATAAGGAGTTTATGACATTTTTATATTGAAGAACACATTAACTTGGTAAATATATTAATTTCAAGGGCTTGTTATATATATATACTACTTAAAATTTATTTATTCATGTGGCAGATATCCAATTGCTCATAATAATATCACGTTGCTTGTGACAGAGCGACCTTATTGGCATTATCCCTATAGTGCAAGAACTAGAAACATTCGACAAGAAACCAGTAAATTTGATAACATAGCTTGCAGAAATATGGTAAAAAATCATCTTGAGTGACAATAAGGGATGAGTTATAAATAGAGAATATTACAGCAGATAATAAGTTGACACGGAATGGAACTTTCTATATTAAGCTTAATTCCTCTGTTTTAAAGTTTCGATTTAATGAGAAATAAGTTGGAGTATTTTAAAGTCCACAAGGGAAACTAGAAATTGCATTACCAGAATTATAATTTATTAGTTGCAAATAAATCATATAAGTCAGAAATACTTAAGTCATACGGTATAAAAATTAAAGATATGAAAGTTCGATTAATTTCCTTTATACAAATAATGATTATTGTATACACTATCAGACCTCTTCATAACTTCATAACAGAGTTGATTTGCTTAATCATACCAATCATTAATCTTCCATTACTTAAGCTATTTTAGATTTCACTCTGGCTTATTCTACGATTTGACCAACTATTGTTAAGTCTCTTTGCAATAAGGCAAAGCAGAAGTTCTGCGAAAAAGCATCTTATATAGATAGCCCAGTTACTATCTAACAAAATAGGTAGGTATTATAATTGACATGGTCAAAAATATGGGGGCTTTCTACTGGAAACATGACTACTTGTATGGACTAAAATAATAAATAGTAAAACTATGCTCTTCTATCCTATGAACTTCCATCTCAGCTTTCAACTGGAACTAAAGTCATGAAATATATATATCTACTCTGAGAACACACCAAATTCCTCTAATTTCTTTCTTGCCCTTTATCAATTTTGCAGGTCAATTTAGTTCCCCTGTCAGCTGCTATGCCTGTATACCTGGTATGGTACAAGAGACTAACGCAGCCACTCTGACAGCTTCTCTCGTAGCTGCAGCTGTAAATTTGGCCGCGGTTTCTCGCCCAGGAGCTCCGTCAGTTTCACATCTTCTACATAACAGCCTGCCTCTTTCTGCAACCCAGATTCATGTAGGATCCAGTAGTAGCTGTTTGAGTGCCAACGGACTAGGTCAGGCAGTCTCACAATTCAGCCACCCACTCTCTCAACCTCCAAGCACTGGGATCCAATTTCCTGCGTCTGGTCAAGCCGCAACTCAGCAAAATGGAACCGGATGTTGTTATCAGCCTTTAGGAATCTTTTCTCGTATGTAGTACTCTAGAGTATTTTATTTGTAGATCTTTTTTTAATATGTATGTACACAAAATTCATGGGTTTAAAAGAAAACTTCTTCCTATGAGGGCGGTCTTACTAGTTATACATATGTACCCACCACTATATTTCATGTTCATCTAAGTTGCCAGAGTCTTACAAAGGGTCATATTTCTCTTACTTTTTTATTCACATTCATATACAATATGCTCAATTAATCAATTGCCATATTAACTAATTCCTCTCGCAAATAATAAGCTAAACAAACACAATGACAACATCACTACCCTAACCACTACACTTAACAAATCTCAAACCATCTAATCATCGCTACTGCCCAAAATGACAGCCACAACATCAGTTCAGCTTTACGCCAACATCCTCACCAATGGTATCAATTCCAGCCTTCCTCTCCAATCTGGCCAATCATCCGGCTTTCTTACTGGACTTGGGCAAACTATGAGTCCAGCTCAAGCTAATTATTTCCTTTCCTGCCAATCCAGCTATGGTGGATCCTCCGGCAACTTAATTTCTCCAAATCTAGCCAATTCCGGGCAAATGATGTTGCCACTGCAGTCAGTGCCTACTACGACATCACAGCAACACCATACATCTGTGCTATCACAATCTGCTAATGCTGTACAAACAGAATTACTCTCTCCGCACCAAAACAATCAACCACAGCTTTCTTATTCCCAGCATCACCAAACACAAACAGTTCAGGAACAACATGCTACGTCAAATAGTCACCAGCATATGCATCAAGCGATCTCTGGGATTTACGCTACACTTGCACATGCTCCAGCAGAACCAGGAGCTTCCACCACAGGAGGTGAGATACCAGAAGTCTTAACTACAACGGGTTTGATGCCGACTGGTTCTGCAATGACCATATCAACGCCACTAGCAACGCAACTCGGGCAGCTAACAAATTTCGTTCCTTTCAGCCTTACTCCAGTAAGTGCTGCTTCCCAAACAGGGTCTCAATACGCTGCTCGTTTTCCGACAAATCTCGAAGAGCAACATTCCATAGCCGCAAATCAAAGCCCTCAAAAAAAAAACATGGATGGGCAGACGCAGAATCTTCATTCACTCCAACAGGCACAGCAGCGATCGCCGCAGCAATCAGTTCATCAGCAGCAGTTAGGGAATCCTCAGTCAAATTCATTTTCTCTAGACGCCTACGGAAACTGCAAAATTGCTCTCCGGGCTCCAGCCAGTACCTGCGCAAATGGCTTCAGTTCAGCCAGTCTGCAATGCATCACAGGACAATTGCCAAACGGTGAGTTGAAAATTCCAGGAAATACTTCTTTCGTAACTCGATTTAGCCTTAAAATTAATGATAAAATAATATATGTGCCATTTCGCTCAGATTATAATGACAAGTGGAATAAAACATAAAAGCAGTGGTAGGAAAAAGTGACTGGCAGCAATCCTGTCTTCTTAACTTAATTTGTCCACTTTTCGAAACACCTTCTGATAGCAATTAGGAGAGGTAACTAATGATAGAATACGAGTAGGCTGTGGTTTATGCGTAAAGTTGATGTGGTTGCTACTGAATTGCTGTATTGTCATCTAGATTACTTGCCTTTTTCTTCTTGTAATGTTGATGCTTGTAATTGGTTTCAAGTTCAAGTGTGTCGCGAGTGTAAAATATGCATGTTTACTGTAAGGCGTGAGTATTATCCAGATTCATGAGTGATTATACCTCCTCCTCCTGTTTGACAGTACTTCTTGCTACTTCTGTATCTTCCTAGTAGCATCCAATAATAACGAGCAGTTTCCTGTACCAGGTCTCTTTATTCAGACTATTATCGTTTTGTAGATTTTTACTAACTCCACACTTTTCTGTTTACTTCTATGCTCTCGCTAGCATGTTAAACATTTGAGCTCACGCTAGTAAAGCTTGTAGGCGCATTCCATTGCTTGTGCTTTAAGGGTCATGAGTTGTGATATATGTAGTAGTCATGATACGATTTAGGGCTAACAAAATCTACTACTTTTGCTGTGTAGTACTAGTTGTTGACAAGGTTTTACAATTTAACATAGTGATTTATCTCATTTGGGGGACTTCATCGTTAATTAGAAGCTTACCGAGTAAATTTGAAGACGACTGGACCTGAAAGTATGCTCTATTTATTTAGATATGAAGAGAAACTTGGTTTAGATGAATCTCTTGAAATAAAATTGTTAGGTGGACCTTCATTTCGTATGAAAGTGCATAAGGAAGGGATTCGTTGGTCGATCTCACCAGATGAGGACGGATGAAGCTCGTCGTACTGCAGCCGTTTGGATTTCATACGATATTCAAGTTTACGCAGTCCACGGGACTTCCTCACTCGTTTCGGGTAAAAACGTGCTGAGCTTTTGTCCATCATATGATGAACATCATCAGAGCTGCGTTTTATTCTTGTAAAAGTCAAATCTTAACACTAGGCCAAAAAAACTACCCGGCTTTTTCTTACCTTATATATAAACTCAGTTACTTCAAAATAAAATTAAAAATTAAAACCCTAGATGGATATAGAGTGGTTTGGCTAATTGTCTTTCATACTTGTCCTGCTACTAATGCTCGTGTGTATGTGTGTGTATTAGCGTCTATACGCAATACCGGTCCTAAATCAGAGTTATCAAAAAGTTTAAGTTAATCTCTGAACATGAAGGCCTAATGACCTCAAAGAAAGCCCTGACCGAGACTGCAGACAACTTAGAGGTTAGGACAAGTGGTTTCGTAACTTGACTTAAATACTTACAAGCTCATATCTTATTATCTCAATCATAATTGCTACTGACTTGCGAAGCCTCGGTCAGGGCTTTCTTTGAGATCATTAGACCTTGATGTTCAGAGCCTAACTTTAACCTTTTGGTAACTCTGATTTAGGACAGGTATTGCGTATAGACGCTATACACACACGCATACACTCGAGCAAAAGTAGTAGGACAAGTATGAAAGATAATTAGCCAAGCCACTCTAGATCCATCTAGATTTTAATTTTTAATTTCTTTTGGCTTG